AGCTTTAATTTTACAGTCTTTAACGTCTCAGCTGCTTAAGTTGTGTATATAACTGCGTTGATTATTGATGTATTCATTAATGACTTTTGTTGTGTAGTCTTTCCATTCTTATCAATGCAGCATGTGAACTACTCTTCTTACTTAGGTCCTTGGACTCCATCCCGCGTTTTCTGAGCACAGGAATGCCAGCTCGGACAAACCTGGGCGCCATGGTAGATAAAGGTGACTCGCCAATGATGGACCACCTTATTCCGTGTCCAAGCCCCCAAATGGAAAGACCTCCCTCATCCACTGGGGGACTGAGTTCTATAACTCACTCCAAAGAAGTTTTGACTTCTTCACTGCGTAAATTGACCAATCAGTTATCGGAAATAAAGAGAAACTTTGGTCAAGAGAATCACCACTGCAATCATCGGCACGGACGAATAGCTGAAGACAGGGACAGTTGGAAAAACAGAACCGAGTTTATCTTGATGCTGATTGGTTACACGGTCGGCCTTGGAAATGTGTGGAAGTTCCCTTCATTATGTCATAAGAATGGTGGAGGTAAGAATGCTACAGAATGGACTCACACTACGCCATTAACTGCTACTATACATGAAACTTATTATTAAACGAGCGTGCTGGAGATAACAACTTATATAGCAAGGCCGCTTCGCGTGCTAAAACCTCGCAGCTCGCTTCTGTCGCTTAGGTATTCTGTTTAACAATTCTTCCCTGAAACTCATGAGGTCGACTTATGGCAAGTCTAGGATAGAGAGTTATTCTCCCATAAATTCAATTTTGAGATCTCTTCAGCATCATAAATCCCAAAAAGGCAGCAGTTTCTGCTCACTTGGACGACTCAAACGGCCTTACCACGCACGGAAACTTTATGCGAGGCAGGACTGAGTATCACGTCTAAAAATAAATTGTGAGGGTTAAACTTGAGAATAAGACATATTTGGGGATCAGTCCTCTCTTGCAATTCATGATTCCACATCACACATTGGACCAAGAGCGGACTGCCCGTTTCACCACCCGACCTTTTTCCGCCCAGCTAGAGAATGTTCGATCTCGTGCTCGATCTCGTCCATTCTTGCAAATGCAAAAATTTTAATGAATTGTAGCTCTTTCTGTTAATAAATAAAAACACAATTATAATTTCTTTCGAAAGAACATTAATGAAACTTACATTTTATTTAATTCTTCTACAGCGTCCTTTCTCATTCCTTACGGAATCATGCTGGCACTAGAAGGTATACCATTATATTACATGGAACTGTGCATTGGACAACGCATGCGGAAAGGCTCAATAGGAGTATGGAACGAAATTTCTCCCTACCTTGGTGGGCTAGGACTAGCCTCTGTGGTAGTTTGTTTCTTAGTGTCTCTCTACTACAATGTTATCATTGCGTGGTGCGTGTTCTATTTTTTCAAGTCTTTTCAAAATCCTCTTCCTTGGTCCACTTGTCCACTCGAACCCGTGACTCTCGGTAACGTTACGACGTTTGAGCCTGTACACGAGTGCAAAGTGACGTCAGCTACGACTTATTTCTGGTACCGAACAACTCTGGGAATGTCTTCTAGTATTGAGGACGGTGGCGGTATGAACTGGAAGCTCTGCGCATGCTTAGTTGGGATATGGACCCTGATATGGCTATGTATGATGAAGGGAATACGGATTACAGGAAAGGTAATAATTCCACGTTGTTTCAGTTTTATTCATTGGCAATTTCACTTGTTAGCCTCGTATTAGAATTCCAAACGACTACATTGAGTTAAAGCGTAAAGTAAGCCAAGAAATATTGAGACAACAAACAAGGACTAGCTTCAGTTTTATTGTAAGCATCGTATTAGAATTCAAACCGACTGCATTAAGTTAAAGTAAGCCAAGAAATTTTGAGACCACAAAACAGATGTTAAGTACTAACATCGAATGTGTTTTCTTTTTTTTCGTATCTCCAGCAATTAACCCAGAAGTAACATGAACCTTTTGTTGCAATGGGTGACAATCCAATCCAAAGTTAATACTTCAGAGACATATTTTCATCAATGAAAACTTAACTACAGTGTCCTAGTTTTGATGAAGTATGTAAGAGCACTGAAGCTATAAAAGGAGAGATATAATGGTCTGGATATGCACAAGGCTGTGATTTCAAATTGAACAAAACCTTCCTTCACAAACACTTAGTATCTTTATGTTCGTACTCTAAAGCCTTTGGTGGGCGAGCGAAGGTATTCAGTAGTAATCTTAACGCTGCTTTGATCAACCTCGTTCCCAGGGTCTCTCGTAGGCCAGGAGATGAGAAACCATGGTAACGATGTTGTCCGTGACGGTGAGAAGTTAACTCCACGTATTCTGTTTGCAGATCGTATACATAACTGCCACCTTACCACTCATTTTGCTCATTATATTCTTCTTTCGCGGTGTTCATCTCAAGGGATACCAAGAAGGTCTGGCCTTGCTTTTTATACCTGAGGTAAGTAACCAAGAAACGGCTGTTGACAAGTCTGTCGGAAAAGCAATCCGTATTTCACTAAAAATAAAAACATTGATTAACCCGAATTCAGTCAGACAGTCGATCAGTAGACCACTGAATCAATCAAGTAAACAATCAGACGAGTAAGTGGATATACAATGAGGCAGATACCCAGTTAGTAAATCGCTCAGACTGTCAGTCGCTCAGTCAGTCAGTCAATCAGTCAGTCAGTCTCTGAGTCAGTCCCTAAGTCATTCAGTCAGCCAGTCGGCCAGTCGGCCAGTCGGCCAGTCAGCCAGTCAGTTTTACTTACCGACAGACATATTTTTCTTCTCATTAGTTTGAACGGCTCAAGGATCCACTAGTATGGTTGGATGCCGCTGTACAGATTTTTTACTCACTCGGCGTCGCCTATGGATCGCTGATCGCGTTTTCCAGCTATAACCCGATTAAGAACGATTCGACAAAGGACGCCATTACAGTTTGCCTTATCAACTGCGCAACCTCAATATACGCCAGTGTTGTGGTGTTTTCCTTCATCGGTTTTCAGGTATTTCCACTTCTTGATATATTCAAGTTTTCCTCGCTATCTTTAACAGATAAAATTGACTGGTGTGAATTAACAAAAATTGGGTGGTGTGATTAACTCTCTCGCTTTTTATCCTGTCTTAGTTTCGGACAACCGTTTTACAAGATGCTTTATTTATACACCATTTTTTAGGCGGAAGACAAAATGGAGCGTTGCCTAGAGAAACAAAATAGTCAAGCTTTACGCCTGTTGAATAACACAGGAATAAGCAGCATACCAGTGCCCACTCTGGACGGCTTGGACAACGAACTTTACAACGAGTTCCTTCACAACGCGTCCATACTGTACAATGAGACACTTGTCACCTGTAACAAGACCGAGTTTTTAACGGTAAGAGGAAACCTTCAAGAACATTAAAAAAATTTCGTTGTTTTGTCAACAGAGCGGTTTTCATTTGAGAGTCGAAAAGTAATTGGCTTTACTTCAACTACGCTACACTACTGGCTTAAAAAAACACTCGCGCCACTTTTTCATCCAATCAGAAGTGAAACCAAAACCAGTCGTAACTCGCTCAGGCACGTTTTCCCGCGCTTTATGTCAGCTACATGCAATTACTTCGAGTTTTGATTGGTTCACTGTACTGTCTGTGTCGTTTGTGACTGACCAGATTAATTACTTTGGTTTTGGTTTTACGACACTCAATTGAAATCCGCTCTAAGTTTGACTGAACATTGATTAAATTATGTGCTTTTCACCAGCGTCAAAAGAAGCGTTTTCCAATACCAAAAACCAAACTAATAACGTAAAAAATTACTTCGTTACATATCTGCCAGTTGACATAAATGCTCACACGGGCCGGAAAATCTGTAAGATGTGGTTCTTTAGTCGCTTCTTCGCGAATTCCTTGATCAGAGTAGATTCACTGTAAACCACGCACAAGCAAATAGCAACTTCAGGATTTGTGTCGTCGCCTCGCGATATCCCTGACCAAAATTGCAGGCTCGCAACTTCATTACCAGTGATTTTTCCCTCCAAATGTTTAGGGAAATGCACTGGAAACGAGTTTTTCAGGCCCAGTCAAATTTGGAGACGGTATTGACTAATATATGGCTATGCAAACTCAATTTGCATTGGTAATTGCTACCCTGGGGAATATGCAAATGACAGCAGTGTTCCACCTCATGACTCCAGCTACACGAGGCCGCGAAAGCGAAAAGACTGGCGACCTACCCTCCCACCTAACTTGTAAGTCGGGCTTGATCTAGCTGTCCCCTTCTATCTTTGCCTGGTCTTGGGCTTGTCCCAGGCAGAGCGATTTCCCATAACTTATCACCATGTCATGCCATGTCGTATCAATACCTAGGGTAGAATATTACACTATTTTTTTTTCATCTTTGAGATACTTTTTTTTTGTTTTACTGAATTCCCTTAGATCCCATCTGGCCAAGGACTCGCCTTCATAATCTTCACAGATGCGATCAACAAGATGCCATTCGCGCCCATATGGGCTGTCATGTTCTTCCTTATGCTCATTACTGTTGGCATTGACACCGAGTTTGGAATGTTGGAGGGTGTTGTTACCCCAGTCATTGATTTAAAACTTCTCCCCAAACTCAAGAAGGAGTATCTTTCAGGTATAGAATAGAACATTTAAGTGTTGTTCGCATAAAGCGAGGTATTTTACTGAAATTTTGTCCAGTTTTAGAGAAATTATTAAAGTAGCCGTTAGTTTGTCATCTTCTTTATATTCTCGTTCGCGCATTCGCGCACTGAGGTTATTATACTCCAATATCTTTTTTTAAGATTTCATAGACTTTGTTACGCGTTTTCTATTAGGCAATCAAGCGGAATTATGAGGGTGTAAAACTCAAATTCAACTATTCAAGGGCAGGTTTAAGATGACAGCATGATAACTATTAACTAAAAATTAAAAATATAATGGAAGAGGTATCTTTTTTTCTCTGGATTTATTTCTGGACTCTTAAACTTCCCACGGAAATTAAAGAAACCAGATTACTATGAAGCTAGGCAGAGAAATAAGAATATGCAATTAATTTAGTTGTGTCATTCCTTAGGTATAATATGTCTCGTGTCTTGCCTGATGGGCTTGCCTTTGGTTCAGTATTCAGGAGAGTACTGGTTTCAGCTTATTGACAGTTACTGTTCTGGGATTCCATTGCTAATTATCGCTTTAGTAGAGTGCATCGCCATTAGCTTCATCTACGGTATTGACAGGTTAGTATAAGATAGTTTAGCCTTCACAACAGGTAGTACAGAAACTGTCCTGATTGTAATGAAGCGTTGAGACGCAAACAGATCTAAAAATTAAGTTTGTGTTACCGAACATTTGGAATTGAAACTACTTTAAGTCGATCCATGATGCCTTTAAAAAAGAATATACATAACTTTATACAGCTTACCAAAGTAAAGGAGACTTCTGACTTGCTTAGAAAGTAACATTGGCATTGAACAAACTGTCTCGGTAGTGCCAAGCAAGAAGTATGAATCGAGTTTCCCTCGTTAATTGGAAATGCATTAAGTTTAATTAAGAGTTAATTTGTGGGACATCAAGGCAATAGCTGCAATTATACTTTCGATTCCATGATGTTCTTAACACATTCGTTTGCCTGACAAACAGCCCATTTCCGAGTTAGCTAGCTTGTTCCTCTGTTTCAAAACGAAACAGAGGAGCAAGGTAAATAAAAACTCATTTTCATGTGAAAGGTTTCGCGCGAAGATTCGGTTTGACACAGAGGCAATAGGTAACCTGGAAGTGGCCTATTTAGTCAATGGCCGAATTTATTATGACTTAGGACGACTTATCCGTCTGAGACGAATTGCGAATTAGATGTTGGAGACGGGTAATTTGTTTGTCTGAGGCAGATAAATCGGCTATAGGTGTAAATGCGGTGCCAGTTCAGACGAAAAATGTGGCCAAATTCGTCTTCGACTGATTAATGCTGCCAGACGAGTCTGAGGCAGATTCATTTCATGTAGAATATCAGGCAGAAGAATTACCATCCCGAATAATTTGCCCCTAGTATAAATTCGGCCATTGTGTCTTGTTTTTCTTACATCGTACGGTTATAGCTACTTCGCCGCTCTGAGGTTTTACACACGCAGTTTTTGTCAAAAAAAAATACCGGCTGAAGAACAAGGGCTCATTCGAGAAAGCAATTGTTATTTTTTGCAGATTTAGCGATGATATAAAATACATGACGAACAAACCTCCTCGTTTTATTTGGAGATGGTGCTGGAAAGTCATTTCTCCAGTAACCATTTTCGTTGTGCTTTCCATGAGTATCAAAAGTATGTCAGAAAGTACGCCGCAATACACGATTTGGGATGGAAAACAGGTGATAATATTTATTGATGAATTTCTCTTATTATCTTCTTTTGATATTGTTATATTAAAGCAACTATCACTACCAACACCTCTTCCAACTACCAGCAACATCATCATCACACACGACCACCATCATAATAATGATGATGATGATGATGATAACCATTGTCATCGTCTTCTTCATCGTCTTCTTCGTCATCATCATCAAGACAATGTTAATAGATTACATCGTAAATAATTTTAACACTTTTGATCATTTTAGCATGATTAGTGCTTAAGGCCCTTGTGTAAATAATTTTAATAATTTTAATTAGTTTAGCATTTTCTTTTTAGTACTAAAGGCTCTTGTTTAGGGCTGAATACATTTGACACTTAAATAAAGGTCCTTATCTTATCTTCATCCTATCTTAAGGCTGGAACCCGGAAGAATGATTTACTCAATTCAGAGTTTTATCATGAAATTGTCAAGTCTGAAATTGATTTTCAATCCTGAAAAGTAAATAGTAAATTTGTTCTTCTCTAACGACTGACGTCCTTTTGCTTGTTTTGTTTTGTTTTGTTCTGTTTTGTTTTGTTTTTTTTTTTGCTTTTCTTTTTTTTTTTTTTTTTTTTTTTTTTTTTTTTTAGGGCAAAGGAATAAAGACTCCTTATCCTCCATGGGCTAAGTTTCTAGCGATCTTACTTACTCTTGTGTCGATATTTTTTATTCCCGCGGTGGCTTTCTTGCGTTACTTCCGTATTATTGGTATGGGGACACCGGAACTTCCAAGCGTGGTGCTGGACGGGGAAGCTGACAATTTAGACGCCTCTGAACTGCAGCCTCTTCACAACGGCAGGCCAGTAAAGAACAAGAAAATGCGAAAACTTAGTCTTGCAAGAAGAAAGTTTAGACTCGAAGAGAAACTAGCAGAAAGATCGGAGACGAATAAAAATGGTCCTTTGAACAGAGTCATTACAGCTAACGGACAGACGTATCAACTGGTGAACCAGCACAATGGCGCGGCAAGGTTTATTTGAAACTGTGTACAAGAAAAGTTATGGCGACGATATGTTTTCTAGATGTCACAAAACAGGAATTTGCTCAGCTCTTGAACTGATCAAGATGTTGCGTTGTGCAAGTGCTTGTCGTTTCACCCCTAGGAAAAACTTGTTGACCCTCCATTGTATCTTCAACGGATATCAAATGTTGTTTGAAGCTAGTGACAGAGTTATAATCATCTCGTGTACATCGACGAAGAATTCTATACGTCAAAGCGGTTTTACTCGTCGAAGCAGCAGAAAGCTAAGAAAGCGGATTAAGGCTTTGCTAAACCCCAGGTTCTACCTTGCTAAGTCATAAGCACTTAGTAACGATATGGCGGGTTCCATTCATGACTAATCCGAACGACACTGAATAATAGACATGTTTTTTTACAAGGATATATCGGGGAAGGAAAATATCGTAGTTTTAATGAAATAATTTTTGTAAGAATAAGTAAAATTCCCCAACATTTGTATAGATAATGGCCTTGAGCTCGAGGCTTCTAGGTCAATCCACTTGTATTGAGATCAATTAATGAAGGAACCAATGACATTTGATAGACGTAATTTGCATATAAACAAGAGCGACGAATCGCCATTACAGTGGAACCTGTATATAAAGAAGTCTCGGTATAACGAATTGATTGGTTAGGTTGTTTCTAGACCGGTTTTCACTTGAGTATGGAAAGTAACTTGCAGTTGCTTGGGTTTTGCATTTCTACGTTATATGATTGGTTAAAAAAATACTCCCACTACTATTTCATCCAATCAGAAGTGAAACCCAAACCAACCGTGACTCGCTTACACGCGGTTTCCCGCGCTTCGTGTCCGCTACACGTATTTACTGCGAATTTTGATTGGTTCATTGGATTGTCTGTTCCCTTTGGAATTGACCAGGGTGGATACTTTAGTCTTCTTTTCATACTCAATTGAAAACCACTCTAAAGGAAATCATTCACCATTTATAACTTACAATAATTATGCGAATATTCCCGGAATTTCTAGTGTCACAGTCTTCCAAAGTTCATTTTAGAGTTTTCTCAGACAGAGAGAGGGAGTAACTGAAAACTTAGACAACCATTTTTAAGGGTCCAATTTTGATTCATTCCCAGTCGTTTCTCGTCCCGTTCACTTTTTTTTCCTAGACTCCCTACGAACTCCCCGTTTCTATTCGTATGCTCTCCTCATAGGAGTCAACTGGGAAGAAGCGATTATGATATTAACTGAGTATTTTGATATTTAATCATAAATATTTACTATAGCTCCGTGTATGGAGCATTTGATACTTTGTATTTGGCTTGGTGTGCTCCTGTTTTGATAAAGGCCCCACAAAACAAAGTAAAAATTTGCACTATTGCTTTTTACGAATTCTTTATGGGAGAATTTGTATTTCAATGTTCTTGGGTTGTGAGTGTCATGCCTTGGATCTCCCCGCTTGAGTGAAGTCTATGGCGTTGAAGTGAGAAGTTAGAAGTTAATCACTGCAACTGGACGTGTACAAAAAGTAATAATTGCATGCACAAGTATTTATTTGAATTTTTGCTGAGAGCATGGACGCATTTTTTAGCTTTGTAAAGCAAGAGTTAGTTATACATAGAAATGAGAAAGTTCATCTCATCGCAAATTTAACTTAACTTCAATTCGAATGTTCCTTCTTCGGATATGAAGTATAGCTCAGTTTTGATCAGAAGATAAAATCTAAATATGCTTGAAATACTCGCCATCAGCGCATCTTTGTAACTGATTTTACTCGTTTGAACACAAACGCAGGCGTTTCAAGGGAACGAGTAAATAAACGAAGAATTTTCGATAAATTAGTTGTACTGCTTAATCCCTTTATGTTTCGCCCAGTTAAATTCTGTTCGACCTCGGGGCCGCTATTCTGAAGATAACGGACAGAACTGAAAAGTATAGCGGCTTTGTCCTTTCCACCTAGAAACCTCGCCATATTTGTATCACCTCGCATTGTGTTCAAGATGGCAGCTCGATCTTTGATCGCGGAATGGAGAGGCTATTAATGGTGAAAACTGAAGGAAGATTAATCTCTAAGGAGTTACTAGTAATTAAGGATCTAACCACCGCAGTTCCATACCCTCTAGAGGAGACACCCACATAAAAGTGGTGCAAATCGTTTGTCGTTAATTCTGTGAAAGGTAACCCCCCTTATAACACGTAAACGGTCTGCGAAAAGTGATGGTTTCGACCCCTGTCGGGTACCCGCCCAGAATATAATTTCTTTATCCCACGCACGTGACGAAGTGATTCAACTTACTTACTTAACCGAACTTAAAATTTGCCCGCATAATTGTATTTATTTATCACCGCGTTTTTTGTTTTGTTCTTAAATTAATGTTCGGCGCAGGAACGACCAGAACGCTTTACAAGCAGTATTGTGCTGTTCAACTGTTACTGAATTAAATTTTTTTTATTTTATTTTATCAATACACTGTAAGAGGTCACTACCCATATAGGGCCCCCACACGGCAACCACGTGAATCACTTTTTTTTTTTAGCTTAACTGATATTTTCATCGCGTTGAAAGACTATGTGCTATATGTCAGTTTCTAGGTGACCCACGTCCAAAACAATATTGAACAACGAACTAACAGACCGCCTGCCAGCGCATAAAGCATTGAACTGTTCAACTGCATTTAATTTAAATAATTTTTACTTCAACAATAAACTACAAGTGGAACCTGCTCAGCCGCACCTGAATCGTCGAGGAAGAGCAAAAAAAAGAAAAAAAAAGCGAGTGACAGCACGCCACCACATTTTTTTTTAATTTCCCGCTCTTCGCTCAAAAACCATCACAAGTAAGTGAGCTCTTTTAGTCTATTGCAGCTACTATTAGTATGGCGATCTAATTCGATGCAAATGTTGGTTTGTTCTATTAAGTTATATTTTTTTGTTGACAACACCAGCTAATTTCTTTGTTTCAAAGAATAAATATTCGATTCCTGATCTTCCCCCAATATACATTTCTTGAGGATCGAGTGTTATGTCGTTAACACTTTAAAAAAATTTGCGTCCAACGTTTTTCATAGAGCTTTAATTTAAAATGTTTATATTGCGTTGATCGGTGTGACCTATTTATCTCAAAACTAACATGTCAAATATCAAATTCAAAGGCCCAACAAAGGGCATTTTTGGGTGAGCGTTCCATCTCCATAAAAACATCGAATTCGGATTAGCGGGTGTCATGTTGTTGTTTTGGAGCGTTCTTGGTTTTTACGGACGTAATATTACTAAACAGAGACTCGTCTAAACGTGTATACCATGTTTAGATGCATTTCTGCTTGCTAACAAACAGACCGCCCACACGCGCTGTCAAAAACACAGTCACTAACAGCTTGCTATGTAATGGTAAGTATTCAGAAATTTCTCACTCAGATTCAAGATATAATTATAAGTGAAAACGGCACCGGGATAATAACAAATATATAAAATGTAGCAATCGATAGATGATAATTAACACTTCTAATGGTATTTTAAAAAAATTTCTGTCTTAGCCCCTCTGTCACGGTCTGTTCACAAACCTTTCTTTGGTCAGCTGCCCGGCTTTTTAGAAAATCGTGCGACCAGTTCTAGTTATTGACGTATTTTTCGTCGGACATAGCTTAAATTGCTTTTAATCCATGGTATCGTTTCTCTTTTCTTTCTTTTTTTTTTTTCAAAAAAAAAATGTTTATTTTATTTACCCTGAAGAAAATACTGGTCATCGAAAAGGACGTCTTTACCCCATGGGGAGTTACTTGTTTGACTTCTACTTCAACGCATTTTAAATACAGTCAGTCGTAAACGATAGGTGAATGGAGCAAAACGATACTCGCTCAAAATGGCTCGGTCACTCTCGCATGATGCCTTAAGACAACTAGTAAGCGTGCATCAGGTACATTTTAATGAACTCACTCATATTTTTTGCAAATAAGTGTACATAAGAAATTTGTAATTCATAATTCATTCATAATTCCCCATCATGTATTCCCAAAAAATATCTCCGACTGATATAGAAACTCAGTGTTACATATTCTCCAAACTGTTGGCAAAGAAGATACCAATTATGGGAATTCGAGGTTGGCGCGCGAGGACTGAAATATTAAATTAGCAGTACAGGGGTATTACAGTTGGATGTTTTTTCTTGTCATTAAACGCGATGCCTGTTTGTTTACTGAGTGCAAGGACCTCCCATCAGCTAAATTAATTCTCTAAGGCTTAAGACAAAATATATTCGCGTATTTAAGTTTTAATTCGGGGACAACACTGAAATTTAATCCTACGTTTTTACACAGATCAAGTTTTTGCTTATTCTTTCCATGACTAAAACCTTTGTAGTGAATTGTAGTACGTTCTATTGCATTTTTCTTATTTTAGCAACATCATGCAATAAGCACAGGTAATATACACGCAAATAATATTGCGATAAATAATTTCTGAGAAGATGATCTTGGACACAACATATAGAAATTAAAAATTGTTCTATAAGGCGGCTAACTCGACCGGCACTTGGTCCAGCCCGGATCTTTATTTCAGTTTGAGTTACTTTTCAGTGAGGTTTTCGGGTGTTTTTTTTTTTCTTTTTTTTGTGACCATTAGTTTTGACTTTGGCCAACTCTATCTCTTGACAAAAANTTTTTTTTTTTTTTTTTTTTTTTTCATACTATGATGTACCTTTTGAATAATTCGATAGGTTAACCATGCATTGGACACAACAGTGTTTTTTCTTTGTTTTGATCACTTTGATCATTTCTTTGCCTTCTAAACGAGAGTTAAAGTCGAGTTCAAACAACTAAAGAAGCATAATAGAGAAAGGTACGTTTTTCGTTATTATGCAGCTCTTTGAACCCAGTTACAAAAGCAATTCTGTTTGAATCCGTGTTAGTTAGAGTCCCATTCAAAGTCAGAGTTATTTGTTAAGGCCCATTTACACAGGCGATTTTTGTCGCGGCAACTCGATGCAATTTTTGTCGCAGCAAAATTGCATCAAGTTTCAAACATGTTCGAAACCCCTGTGATATCGCGGCAACAAATCGCACTGAAAATCGCACCTGGTTTACACGTGCGATTTTAACTTTAGCGCGACAAAAATTGCATCTAGTTGCCGCGACAAAAATCGCCTGTGTAAACGGACCTTTAAAATTATTACAAGAACAAACCCTGATAATGGCTCGACATTTTAAACCCTTTTTTCATGACTTTTCTTAAACTTTTGTCGTAGTTTTAGTCTATATTCATTTTAATCTTTGGAGAATCCATTGCGAAATAGTTTCCTCTTATAGTAACAAGAATTAATGTTTTCTAAATAAGACTTACAATAGAGTATAATTATGAATTGCGCCCCTGATGTTCCACAATATTTTGAGCAGTTTATAAGTTATAAGCGATATGACCATTTTCTTGAGGCAAATCAGTCCATTCTGTCCTGTTCAGGGCCCCCACAAAGTTATTGTTAATTACTACTCTGAAAAATAATGTAAAAAATTGAAAGAAAACTTTGATGATGACATTTTAAATCGAAAACGCTTTGGTTTTCAAAACTTCTATCATATTTTCATTTTTAGCCCATAATCCTTTTTGAAGCGTCTTTCGTGAATTTATTCTCAGTTGATTTATCTCAGTTATTTCAATCAACGAACGAACACGTGAAGATTGTTAAACGAAACTTATCCGGTAAAAGTTAACAAATGTTACTTGCGTGGTTTTAGTCTCTGACAGGGCACGATATGTCCAATATTTTTGAACCTGTAAGTGACAATAACATAATTATAACAAGACCGACACACGCAATCATTATGATGTATTAGCCCTTTGTAGACTCACGTTACAGGTGGTAAGATACGAAATTGTATTTACGATTAGCTAATGAGCTGATTTTTGAGTGAGAAAGCAACGTGATGCGAGATAAAGTTAATATTCTCACTTTGAGTAGAGTCCACGAATGGCCCTATTTTGAAGATAAATTGTCAGTTGTATATATTTTAATTCATTTTAAATGAAAACAGTAGCCGAACCAATTACGATCGGGTGAAAAACTGTTAGTTTTTAAGGCTGAATTTCGTGACAAGTTGCCGTGTAGGGGTCTGTTACCTATAATTGCTAGTGTGTAATTTTCACCTACAAATGCCTTACAGCGTTAACAATCTTAGAACACGGAGACATTTCGAGAAAAAATACTCTGTTTTGCTGGCGTACGTGACATTACTGATATAGGAAAAAATTGCATAGCGACCACTTTTGCATATGGTTAACTCATTTTGTTACCAAGAGATGACCACTTTACATGTCGCACGTGCTTAAATGCACATTTCAAATGAAGCTTGCACGCACATTTTACATATGAATTTTTGCTCAGCGTTTCACAGGTTGATTCAAGAATGCGTCTCTCCTTGACAAGAGCAAACATAAACAGACGCATCGAGTCTGTGATTGTCGCCTTCCGATCGTAGGCATATAAGGTTAGTACGCTATTTAAAGCAATCGTTTTTCAGGTTAGGGAACGATGCGGAATTTTCTTTCACTAAGTTCAAAGAGCCCTGTAATATCGCCGTACCGTCATCACAACNGGCATATAAGGTTAGTACGCTATTTAAAGCAATCGTTTTTCAGGTTAGGGAACGATGCGGAATTTTCTTTCACTAAGTTCAAAGAGCCCTGTAATATCGCCGTACCGTCATCACAACCCTTCATGAGAGAGATCAGAAGAGACAGTTGGATTTCAATGCAAAGTTGCTACTCCTCCTGTTGTTTGATCCTAACAGAAATACTGTCTCTCATAGGGCGCAAATCTTTACAGTTATTATTGTTGCACTACAAATTGTTAGGATCAACTTTCGGAAAAAAAATTGAAGAAGGTCGGCGGCTAACTACTCGTTGGCCAGAAGAGCTTAAACGATTAAAATTGTTTTGACGTCGTATCCAACTCACTCTAGTGTAAACAAAGGCTACTTTCGAAGAAAAAACCTGGCTGTGCTCTGAGACTTTATTCTGATTCTTATGCTAAGGTTGGAAAAATTATATAGTGGCGTGGATTGTCATCGTGCTATTAACATGTGAATTCTTTGATACAATTCGTGCCCTCCTCGCTAACAGTTCGTAGATACACGGTCATTGCACGTACGTTGTTGTTAAAAAGAAAAATTATTCTCCAATTCTGGCTTAATAAAATACTCAAAATATCTAGTGAGCGGACGGCATTAGACTATACTCGCTGTCTTGTCTATGGCAACAAAGCCCGTGGCTATATGCGCTTTTAGAAACTTGAGTTAATAACAAACAAACGTCAAACTGGCACTGGGTCAAAATATAAGGCTTGTCGGCTTATCGACGCTTCTGTCAATGATTCCGGGTCGGAAATCCCCTTACTGCTTTAATACTCGATGTCGTCACGTTTTGCAGGTTAAAAATAAAATCATGGATATTTTCCAGCCGATTTGAAGCCAAGGAAAGCAAAAATGAAAAAGAGCCAACAGAGAGGCTTCAAAATCCCGCAATTCCCAGAAACCTGTTGTGAAAGCATGTCACGTATGGTGATTATTGGATAAGAGTTCGAAAGCTCCGTCCACATGACGCCGGAGGAATTTGAAAACGGAGGTTTCACTCTGAAAACGAATCAGTTGTTTCCCGTCCGCACTATGCCGGAGAAATTTGAAAACGCCCAGCAATAACCGGTCATTTTAGATGTGTGTTTGAGGAAAACTCAGACAGGTAAATCACATGATTATCGCAACGCCATAGTTTTCGAAAAGCTCCGTTTTCAAAATGTTTTCCGTCCACA